TTCTCGCCCTGCCGTCCTGTCACCTCTAAAAAAGCCACATTTGAATAAACTTCTGAGCCATGTTCAAATTAAACAAGGCGCCCTCGAAACGGCCGGCCAAAAGTATCATCATTACCATTCCCGCCCTGCCGCCAAGTCTAATATTTTATCTATTACTTTGTCTGGCATGTTTAAGTGCACAACGGCTACCAGATACCCACCCAACTCCCCCTGAGCCCATCTCTAATACTAATAAGCAACGCTGCATTTCAACACGTTGGTGGGAATGAAAAGTTTGGATGAGATGTTCACGGCTAAATCTTTACATAAATATAATCTTCTGCTTTCATACAGATAATCAGTGTAATTTTTTCCCCTTTTGTCTCAATTTGGGATAAAACTGTTTACATGCAGTTGGATCATGGAAGAATATTTTTCACTCTGAGTTCCCCACAAAAAAAAAAAAAAAAAAACAGTTAATGATTGTGAATTAATGGAAAAAAGACTCATCAGAACTTTGGTACTTTTTTAAAACACCTCTGTGGAAGTCCAGAAGCAGTCGATCTCCAATTTTAAGCTGCTCCATGTTATAATTTTTTCCTCCACAACTTCAGCAACAGTAATTGCAAACAGGCATCATATCTTAAAAAATATATGATGCAGCGCACAGATTGCAATAACACTGCCTGGATCTGCTTTTCCACTCGTGCAAGATGTGCACCGTAGGATCTAGATCATATGTTTAGTGTGGTGGTGTTTACTATGAAAAAAAACCCCAGAATAGACAAGATCGGTGGTAAACTATTCATGGAATCCTAGAGAGAGAGAGAGAAAAAAAAACAACACACATCTCCCGGAGTAAAATATAAATTTAAAAAAGACTTATGGTGAAAGTTCCACCGCTGCCTGAGCAGTGGTAACTACAAGTACGTTTTACTTAAGTACATATTTGAGGTGCTTCAGTCGAGTGTTTATTCTGTTTATAGTTTATAGTATAGAAGTACGTTTTAGCTCTGCTGCATTAACTGGTGGAGCTACAGGTAGTTTAGGGGTCAGGATTTTACACACAGAACATATGATTATCCAACATGAAAGGGGTTCTTGTGCATTACTGGCTTAACAATAACAATCCAGTGATATATTAAATCACTCAAACATGATGCATTCCAAGTACCTTTACTTTTAAAAGTGCATTTTGCTAATAATTCCCACTTTTATTTTTTAACTGCAGGGACTTTTACTTGCAGTGAAGCATATGCATTTTGTTGTACTTTAACTCCTTTGAAGGAATCACTGGCTAATCACATATTCAGCACTAGTACCGTCCATCTGCTCTGTTTGACATCCTTTGAGCAAGACATTGAAATCACAGTCAATTATTAATGCCGGTTGTTGTTCTCCTTTTAAACAACAGCTTCGTCTCATTTGTGAATTCTGATGAAACTTTTAACCCCAGCACATTTCAACACACCGCTTCTCTCAACCCACAATGGCCTCCTGTTTTAAATAGACATCAGAAGCCAAACATCAGCAAAAAAAAAAAA